TTTGTTTCAAAAAGTCTCCAGAAAACCATATTGATGAAAATACCCAAAAACACTGAGATTTTCACAAAAATTGGTTTAAACGATGAGATTGGAACTTTTGGTATAAAAGTTGAAAACTTTTTCCAGAGATCAATTACCCTGACACCAAACTAATATTTTTGCACTCAACGCGCGTTTCGCTAACAAGGTTAGCATCTTCAGGAGAAGCAAATTGATACTGAATCCAAAGATAAGGGTTAGCTGTTTATATGCCTAAAGTTTTTGTCAACAATAGATTAAAAAGCGGACAAATTAATTTGCAGGTCGTGGTTCCACTAGGATAATCATCATTTAACAAACAAAGTCCACATCGGACCAAAAAACTTTAGGTATATAAACAGCTAACCCTTATCTTTGGATTCAGTATCAATTTGCTTCTCCTGAAGATGCTAACCTTGATAGCGAAACGCGCGTCGAGTGCAGAAATATCAGTTTGGTGTTAGGGTAATTGATCTCTAGAGAAAGTTTTCAAAAATCGGTTTGCAAAACCACTCACTACCTCACCTAACCCCACGAACACACGGCACTGATAAATATTGTGAAACGGACAAAAAATTAGTATTTAGCCAGGCCAGCTAGCCGAGCCTTTACTCCTCAACTACATTCGATAGCACGTTTACTAACTATCTGGGCGACTAGGGGCCACATGCAAGAAATGTTTATGACTGTACTCTTATTTTTATTGCAGTTCCAATTGGGAATGGAAAGACTACATATACCTGTATTATCACCTACAGGGGTGCCATATAAAGGCTAATGTAATGAACCATTGTTAGTTTGATGCATAACTTTGAAAATATCCTTATAGGACGAAACTGCAGTAACGTTAGTTACAAATAAAAGTTGTAAAAAACATAGAAAGTTCAATTTCTCTTTTCTTCATTAAATATATTCTTCTCCATAATTTCAAATATTAGCTGATGATGAACCTATATAGGTTCGAAACATGTACTGATTGATGGTTTTATCGCTCTGACATCTGAAAGTGACATTGAATTGTGGAGACGACTTCAGTTTTTATTCTACGTGTGGCAGCGAAGTTAGTTTCGAAATTTCTGAATTGTGACCAAAAAACGGCTGAGCGTGGCTCAGGAATTGCTGAATGACGTCAACGACAATTCAGGTATGCTTGAAAGGGTCATAACTGGTTACGAATCATGGGTATATGGTTGTGACATCGAAACCAAATTCCAATCGTTCCAATGAACGAGCCCAGGAGAGCCAACACCAAAATAAGCGCGACAAGTTAGGTCAAATGTCAAGGTTTTGCTCATAGTTTTTTTATTACCGTGGCAAAGTGCATCAGGGGTCTCTAGTCATTGCAACATCGTTATCATGCCCCAGCCACCGTATTGACCAGATTTGGCTCCCTACTACTTTTTTCTGTTCCTGAAATCAAAGAGACCTATGAAAGGATAGCGTTTTCGCTAGGATTGGTGAGATGAAAACTGAATAAATGAGAGAGCTCAAGGACATACCAAAAAGTGTATATCAGAACTGCTTCTATATTAAGAAAAAACTAAAGCCCAATTTTTTTTTCACTTAATTGTTTACAACTTTTGTAATTTTTATCGGCACGTTTTCGGACCTTTCCTCAAACTTTCTAGGACACCTTGGTCGTAATTTTTGGACAGGGCTGAAAAATGTCACCAAAAAGAGCTAAATCGAGTACATGTGAACCAGACTACAGTAGGATACGTGCCTTCAAGTTTACAAGACATATATTTCAGGAAGCGCCTCTGTAGGGCTTCTAGTTGATTTATATGAACCTGATAGTAGGGACTCCATACGACAGATGCATATTCCAGCCTAGATCGAACAAAAGTGAAATAAAGTAATTTCATTTTTGAAGCTTTCTCGAAGTCTTTTGTATTTCTAACTAAGAATCTATTCATGCGATAAGCTGCTGTTAGAGTAGTGTAAATTTGTTTATTGAAAGAGAGGCATGAATCAAAAGTAACACCTAGATCAGTGAGTGTGTCAGGGCGCTCCAGAACTTGATTGTTTATGACGTAGTTGTGTAAATTCAAGTTCGTTTTCAGTGAGTAAGGCATAACATTACATTTGGATATGTTGAGAGATAGATTATTCTTCCGACACCATGTAACAACGCGATTTGAATTTAAGGCGCAATCATTAGAACATGTTATATTGTGATAGAGTTCAGGTTCGATTTCATTAATGAACATATTGAACAGTAGGGGTCCTAAATTTGATCCTTGTGGTACACCAGATGTGGCTATATGTTCGATAGGCTTGAGGCCATTGAGTTGAAGGTACTGCTTACGGTTGTGAAAATACGATTTGAAGAGGGTAATTAATTCATTGGATAACCCAAAAGTCGAAAGCTTGTTGAGCAGGATACTATGGTCAAGTCTGTCGAACGCCTTAGAAAAATCAGTGTAGATGACATCAGTCTGAGACTGACAATCAATACCCTCTGCAATACATTGAGTGATTGTTACAAGATTGGTGGTGGTTGAACGTCCTTTCATGAAACCGTGTGGATTGGGGCTAATAATGTTGCTGGCATGACAATAGATTGTCTTCTCAAAAAGCATCTCAAACACTTTACAAAAGTTGCGTATGATAGAAATTGGTCTGTAATTTTGTATCTCACTTTTATCTCCTTTTTTGAAAATTGGGCAGGCTTTCGACATTTTCCATATTGATGGTACAGTTGATGTTTTCAGGCATATATTAATTAGAGTTGTTAGTGGTTCATTACAACTTCCATATTGATGGTACAATTGATATTTTCAGGCATGTATTAATTAGAGTTGTTAGTGGTTCAACCAGAGCTGAGGCACAATCATCAATGATAAATTCTGGAATATCATCAGGTCCCGCAGTAAATTCAGGCTTTAATTTTTTTGGGGTATGATAAACATCTTCAATACTAAAGTTTTTGATTACTAAGCTGGGATTATCACTACTGTTGTTCGCATGGTCACTCGATGTTGACATTATATAAGAACCACTGAAGAAATCTGCAAAACCATCAAGAATATCTGAAGAATTATCGAGTAGCTTGCCTTCATGTAACATTTTATCTCCGATTCCATTCGTATATTTTGACTTGGTAACCCCCAAAACTTATTGGGGTCATGGATAATCTCGCTCTCAGTTTTCTGAATGATTTTTTTATAAGTTATTCTGATGGCTGCTTTGATTTCTGCCCGAAGACGTGAAAAGCGTGAATGTCGTCGTTTTTTTTGTATCAACACCAATTTTTTGTTTTACTTCGAATTTTCTTTATCAATGCACCATCAAAGTAAGCTGGATAATTATTTTTAGATTTTATCGAGAATTTTGGCACGCAGCAATCAAATCCATTGTATAATTTTTTATAAAAGTGAAGACAGGCATCACCTGCATTGCGAAACGTATTTAGAAACGTCCAATCGAGATTGAGGATCAGCTCATAAATAAGCGGAAAGCTTTTTAAAATTGTATTTATTCTTCGAGTTCGTTTTGAAGTTCAGTTCGTATGTTATTTTCAAAGCAGGGTGATGACCGTCCTCTTTTACTCTCATAATCGCCCAGCATACTCAGCTGAGATATTTGAGTATATATAACTCCTAGATTGTAGATAATTTCGTTGGTCGATCGAAATCCACGAAGAAGTGCACACTCTGTGAACTTTTATCAGTAACCTTACATTCTTTATGGTATTTGACAAAAGCGCACCAACTAAAATGGCGCTTATTTCGATTGAACTGATTAAGTATTCACTGAGATATTACAGTTTAAAGTACACTCATATAAACTGACAAAACTTTTGAAAAAGAACTAATATTCATATTTTCAAGATTTTCATTCTAGTCTCTTTAGGAATGCTTTGTAGTTTTCTCTCAATGACAGGTACATACTGCATAACAAGATATTAAATTGCGATATTTTTATTTCGACAATTTCGTATTTCCGTACCGAAATATGCCTATGTTTGTCATGTCAAATATGGAATATTTGTTCGACGTCTCGTCAATGTTCAAAGGGGCCTATATGGAACCTTCTATGGATGTAAAATGGATATTCTGTGTTTACTAAGATGAGAGGCATTAGCCTCAAACTGGGCGAGGAGTCACTTTCAGTGAAAAGTCGTCCTGGTTTCGTTCAGGTTGAAGCCTGGCTCCCTTACCCTTTCAACTGATGTTTATCAGAGGGACAAACGGGTCATGACTAATGGTAAGATGGCTACATGAATGTTCTCAGAACATCAGTGCCGCCCTTCACGGTGTACCCCTACCTGGCTGGGGTGAGATAGATGAAAACATTGTTCATCTTTTAACAGGCCCCGACACTCAACAGTGTCAAGGCCTGAGCTTTCCCAACTAACGGATTTTCATGGACTGCCGAATGGAAGGCAGCTGCAAATCTTTGCGGATGGTCTCATTCCGCACGAACCAAGGAGCATTCACAATCATCCTCATCAACTTGTTTTGTAATCTCTACAGAATGGAGATGTTAGACGGAGCCGCTTGTCCCCAGACGCCTGAAGCATACATGATGTCAGGCTTGAACATCGTGTTGTAGAGGGTAATTTCATTTCTGAGAATGATTTTAGATTTTCTATCAATCAGAGGGTACATACTAGGTATCTGGCCCTAGATCCCTGTTTTAACTGATATAATGTGCGGGTTCCAGGTGAGCCTGCGGCCGAGGTACTTTACCCGCGCTTGCCAGTTGATCCCCCTTTCAGAGACCCTCACTTTCCTAGCCGGAGAAGATATCGTTCTTCCCATGGTTATCGCCTGAGTTTTTTCAGGGTTCACTCGGATCTTCCAGTCGCTCGAGGTCGTCCAATGCACGTTGCATATAGACGATCCCAAGCTCCCGACACATGGAAGATGAGAGGAGAGCCGTGTCATCGACGTAGAGAGACACCTTTACACGCCCGGACCTCGGGAGCTCGCAGTCTGCTATGTCCGTATACTGACTTGAATCTCTTTGCTTTACAGTGTGTCCCCCAATCATGGTACTTAGCTGTCGACATGCACGGTTTCATTGTTGCTACTATAATTATCGCTCTACTGAAAAAATCCATGAGGAAAATGGTTTTTGTCACAGCCTTCATAACCTTGACAGGTATAGCAGTAACGTATTTTATTTGCTATGGTTTACGATCTACTGGCAAAAGCAACACGTGAGTATTTCTGATGATGTTGAAATATGACAAACTAATACAAAAGGCGATTGAAAAGAGCACCTCGTAATTTACACTGAACCATTTTAGTTGTATCAATCTTGTTGAAGAATACAATATCACTCTATGTATGTATCTATGTATTTTATATACATCATTATTTCGTAGGTCAAACATAATATATGATTCAAGAAGAATGTACTACACACCAACGCATACAAGATTTCCACCTTATATGATCGGTATGTTGTGTGGGTTGTTCATGAAATCGATCCAGTCTTCAAGAGTTGGCAAATGCCGTCTTACGCAGGTACGTGAAATTATGAATTATCCACAAAGAAACAAAATTTAATTATCATTTTTTCGCGTGGATTTCAAATCTATTCCCCTGTCTCTCGACAGCTCTAATTTTTGAGGTACAGTCTTGACCATATTTGTGTAGGTACTATATAGTTATATTCAACTATCATGAAGCCAAATTATTCTTTTACAAATTCATTTTCTGTTACAATGTCTACATCGAAGAATATCTGTAAAAACGATTCCAACTATTTCTGTAATATCTGCGGTGAACATACATTCAAAAATTTTAGACTTAATGTGTCATAGATCGTAAAAGGCGTGTTTCTTGATTACCTTGGATTTCCTATAATAAAACTATCAATAGGGGGAACCCAAGCGGAGATTTCGGGATTTACTAAAGCGCGGCAGATTAATATACAGGGGGATATCTTGTACCCGGTTAAGTACCTCCACCAAATATGAGCATCATATATAAGGCCGCATGTGAGGGATAAAGGATCAGATTAGTAAAAAAAAATTGATCATCAGAAATTCTCGAGCGCGTCAGATTAAGGTAGGGTGTTTTAATTACATGCTAAAACGTGTATATTCCAGTAATCTGACAATTTGAGAGTGATGTAAAGAAAGGGGAGGGCAGCAAAGTTGTAAAAAAAATAACAATTCGACATTCTCGAGCGTAACAATTTTTTTTATTATTTTGAAGGAAATAATTCAAGGATAACGAAAAATATATAATCTGACGATTTCCGCAAGCCGAAATAACAAAAATTCGTCGATAAAGTTTAATGCGTGCAGCTGTGTGATACCTATACCTTTTTATTTGCAGGTTCAATCCTTCGCAGTTTGGAGTGCAGCGATATCTTTCTTAGCCATTAGTACGTTTATGTCATTAGCACTAAGCGATGAGACTACTGCTTTGATTGCTCTGTATGATGCAGTACATAGATCGATTTGGTCTCTAGGAATTTGTTCAATTATTTTGATGTGTTTCACCCACAATGGAGGTACGAAATCTATGAGATTTAAAAACTATGTCAATCAGTAGTAATTATTGCCATAAGAAAAACGTGATTAGATCATAAATGTTTGTCATTGATTGATTTCATGAGTTTGACGGAAATAATATGGAATTCTACAAGGTCCACTTCTCAGTAGTGTTTGGCCATTCTAAATATTTCCATGAAGCGTATTCGGCGACTTTCTGCGATCGGAGAATTTGCATCAAAACAAATATTAAGTGTTCAAAAACACTTGAAACGTTAACAGTGGCATACGGTGACTGTACTCTGAGTCAGAAAAATGTTTACAAGTGACACAAGCTTTTCACAGAAGGTCGATAAGTGGTGAATGACGACTCAGCCACCGTATTCACCAGATTTGCCCCCTGCGACTTTTTTCTGTTCCCTAAATCGAAGAGACTCATGAAAAGACGGCGTTTTGCGACGATTGAGGAGATAGAATCCGAATCGCTGAAAGAGCTAAGGAGATACCAAAAAGTGCATTTCAGAACTACTTCACGGATTAGAAAAACGCTGGCACTAGTGTATGATATCTGATGGGGGCTATTTTGAAAAGAACAAAATAGAAATTGCAAATTTTCCCGTGAAATTACTTACTTATTTCATTAAATGGTAAACAATGACAGTTTGGAATAGAACCTTCATCCAGGTCCAAGGCTTGTTGAGCGACACAAGTTTTTGCTCGTCTCCGTGCTGCGTGTTCTTTGACACGTGTTTCAATAGCTCGCTTAGTCTGACCGATATAATTTCGTCACAGTTCTCACGGCTCATTTCATATATCCCCGTGCTAAGAATCGCACGTTGAAAGGTAAGACCACGCCAATCCTCAGTTCACACGTTTTCCGACTTCTGAGGATTGTCGTTCGTAGAACGACAATCGGATATGTAAACTTAATATTCGGGTATTTGTTGTTGAAAGTTGAAACAGAGCCCTCTACCTTCGATTTTTTTCTGTAAGTAACCGCAAATAATTTTTCTTCGTATCATATTCAAGTCCGTGGAAAATACCAGCTCTCGAGCAAAGCAGCTATGAAGGGGGGGCAGTTGATTTTCAATTGCCCTATCTTAATGTTGTCAGTAGAAACAGTTTTCGAATTGGAAGCAAGACTTGAACTGAAAGCAAAAGAGAAGAAGCGGCTTTCAACAGAAAAAAGTCAGAGATAGAAAACATTGTTTCAAACAGATCCCGCTATCAGAGCTGATAGCTCTGATAGCTTACACCATTGTACAGAACACAAAATGGCATTTTTTAACGTTTTGGTCCGCAGATTTGTTATATTACTCTTGAGTAAAGAAAGGAAGAATATTGAGAAATATGTTATCAGGGGCATAGCTGAAAGCAACATGCATTTTTCAAATATAGTAGATAATCAGAAAACGTAAACAAAGAAGGAATTTTCGTAAATCTTCGACTTTGAGAAAATAAATAAATTCAAATTTCATCGTCCTTACGTATGAATCAAGAAACACAATTAGGTCGTATTTTCGAAACGTTGAACATGGAATTAGCCTTCAAAACTTCCAATAAATTGATGAATGTAGCCGTTACTATGTGGTAGGAGATCATGATGAAAAAAGAAATGAAAATTTCTCTTTTCTCTTTTATTTGTAACTAGCAGTTTCGTCCGTTATTATGACCTATATGTGTAATTGTATCAAATTCCCTAGCTAGATTGTCTGCAGACAAAGGAAGTGAGAATGCTCTGTGCAGCATTGAATTGTAGGCTGCTAATTTATGACTGTCTGGATGGAAAGAATCGCTTGGGATGGTGATGTCTGTATAGCTTAGTTTTCTGAAAACATTGAACTCGAATTTATTCTGATTGTGTGTAATGGCCAGGTCTAAGAAATTTATTTGTTTCTCTATCTCTGTTTCGAGTGTGAACTGAATGTTGCTATTGAGATTGTTCATGAATGTCATAACTTGGTTCAGCTGTCGTGTAGTACCTCTGAAACAGGCAAGAATATCGTCTACATATCTGTACCAAAAATTAATTAGTTGTTCATAAATATGTCTGCTAAAAGTGGACTATGGGGTGAGTCCATTGGTAAACCTGAATCCTGTTTATAGAATTTGTTGTTTAACTGTAGATAACTCTGATTCAGGCACAAATCGAAAGCTGTTGAAACTTCAAAGGAAATGATATGGTCTACTTTGACTTGATCTAATATGTCTAAAATGAGGGGCTTACACTCGTTGTTCGGTATGTTGGAGAACATACTCTTTACATCGAATGAAACTAAAACTGAATTATGTGGTGTGGTTTGGTTCCTTATGTCCTCTACTAAAGTCAGTGAATTTTTAATGCTGTGAAGTGGGACGAAATTGGTAATATTTTTGAACAACTTGTTGAGACGTATTCCTAGTTCTCTTACCGGACTATTTATGTACGAAACTACAGGTCTTATAGTTCATGAAAAGCCCTGTATACTATTTCTTTATGGATATGACCCTAGATGAAAAGAGTATACCTGAAGAGAATAAACAACGTTGAAGGTTTGCAAGACAAGATTATGTCAAATAGCTTATAGTTATTGATCTGTTGCAGAATTGTCATCATAGGAATTGTTACAGCAGTAGTACTTTCGTCAACTCTGTTTGATATGGTGTTATCATATAAAGGAATAGGTAATTATTTGAATATTTAAAAATGAAGTCTACACAAAAGTGCGAAGTGTGGCTAGAAAATAACAGTATTTATTTGTTTGTAGAATGAATTTCACATCGTTCCCTTCAATATTCTTCCTTCCACTACCCCTAAACTTTTCCTTTGAAATGGTTAGCCGTTCAAAACAGTGTTTGAATTCATTTTCTGCAAACATCTTCACAGACTCCGTTGCTAATTGCTTCAAAGTTTCCACTGTATTAAACCTGGTTCCTCTCATTGCTTCCGTTACTTTCGAAAACCTGAAATGATCACATTAACTAGATCTGGCGGGTGGGGTGGATGTTCCAACTAGAGGTCCAGTGTTTGACCGAATGGAGCGTCTCAACGAAATGTTCTTCCACAATTATTTTTGATTTCTTTATCGCTGCTGGACTGTTATTTACATAAAAAATTCCAAAAAAACAATCTTATGGCTTTGAATTTTTCATTTGGATTTGGAAACCAAGGTTCGTTCCATGCAATAACTATTGCCAACAGTTCAAAATCTTTCTTGATTCATGAGGATCTTAGACACTGTTTTGACACCATTCTGATATTGAAATGTTCATATCATATTTACTCGACTCATTCTTTACTTGTGATTGAACTGTTCAATCATCCTCTTGAAGATGATCACTTGGTGATCGAAGCACGTGTCGAGATGTTGAAATAACGGTTTGGTTTTGGGAAAAAACTAGAGTGATTTTTCTTAACTTATTCTTTGTCGATTCCTACAGTCTCGGTAGTTGTACGTTGATCTCGACAGATTAAATTATCTGTCTTTTCGATGTAGTCATCCATTTTCTAAGTTGAAGGACGTCCTGAGCGTCACTAAGAATCCGTGTACGTGACATACCTTCATTCCCATACAGTTGTGAGGAGGGTTCTCTCGTTGACAAGTTGCTAAGGGCTGTGGCCCAAAACTGAGCAAGCTAGTGTCGTCCAACCGGCTGGAATGTGTGGGGTATGCAAGAGACTCAGCAATATGGCGTGACGTTATTATCTACCCACACCTCGTTTCTTATTTTTTATGATGGAGAAGTTTGATTTTCAGAGACGAGAAAACCAATAATGGTGATTTTTTCGGCCTTGGAAAATACCAAAAAAATGTTTGCAACGTCTAACAGTTCGGATCAAATACTGTGTATTAATGGAATTAAAACCATAAGTATATTCTGGATAATATTCTTCCACGAACATTTAGTTTGGAAAGAGGGCCCTCTCAGTAATCGATACGATTTACCCAATGTAAGTTCAACAAGTTATTTTATATTTTTTTCTAATGATTAATTTAACAATGGGAAAGTAATCCAGTAACAAATACATGACTTTATTTTAAATTTTCGAGCTGTAGTTTTTGCTGCATTTGACAGTAACCTTAACGTTAAATAAATTCTTGTTGAACCTTGTTTATGGTTTCTTGAGAAATATTGTTTATTTCTGTTCGAATTCTCTCTTTTAACTCTTGAATATCTGCTGGTTTCCTTTTATAAACAACATTCTTCAGATGACCCCACATAAAGTAATCCAACGGATTCAAGTCTGGCGACCTCGCTGGCCATTCAATACGTCCACGTCTACCAATCCATCGGTTTGTAAACATTTGGTCGAGATACCTTCGAACATCTGCAGCATAATGTGGAAGCGCACCATCCTGTTGAAACCATAAACTTTCATCAAAACTTCCAGGATTGATTCTACTGGGGAATAAATTAATTAATGTAGGTACAAGATATCCCCTTAAAAACTGAAGGTATGTTGGCATGTCTAAAGTACCGTCGAAAAAGTAGGGTCCGATGATGATGTTTCTTACAATGCCAGCCCATAAGTTCGATTTTAAAGGGATGCCATTTTTCCAATTTTAATATTTGTATACAGTTGTTTTACATTGAAATCACGACTAACCTTACGAACAGAAGTGTGCACATCTTCTTCAAAAGCAAGTAGAACAGGTAGTTTTGTATCATTATTTACAGAAGGACGACCTGATTTGCGTGCATTTTCAACTGTACTAGTTTCATGAAATTTCTTTTCAATATTACTTACTGCTGACTGCGTTATGCGTCTTTCTGGATATTTTTCATTAAAGTTACACACTTCCATCTGAGTTCGCGATCTGCCTCCATAGTAAATCATCATAAGTATTTCAATGTTTTGCTTTACACTTAAATTCATTACTACTTCAAATTAATTCGAAGCAATTCTACAGAAAATTAAGGAATTAATACAATAAATACTGTGCTATTTAACAGTTACTGAACGTCAATCAAAATAATGACATTTCACAATAACAAAAAAACAAGATGCCTAGTTTTTTGAATTTAATATAAAATACTT